AAAACAGGACTGTTTTTCAAATGCATGTTTTCTTTCCTTCCTAAAGAGAGGTGAAGCTTTGTTAGTCTTTGCAAGGGACCTTGTGATCCTTTTATGAAAGCTGTGTCCCATGGATCATTGACTCCATAGGAAATCAAACCAAAAGGCATCTCAAGAAATGAGAATTTGTGTTTTCTCTTTTATAAGAGATCGGTTTTTATGGGATCTTTTTTGCAAATTTGTTGAGAAAGGCACAACAGTTACTGGATTATCCAATGATATTTTACATTTTCCTCAACAAATTACTTTCACTGTTGATTGCAAAATATCTGTGGACTATTTCTGATGGCAAAGAAGCCTACTTATAGGCTGGGCTGCTTGTTCCCCCAGAAGACTGTTGGACATCCATAGTAAAGCTGTATATTTTTTAGCTCATATGGTGGCTTGCACAACTCACACGTGCTTCAGATAATGCAGGGGCAGCCCAGTACATTCTGTGTGGTACCAAGGGTGTGGGGGGGCTTCTCAGGGTCTCTTCCCATCCAGTCTTGGCTGCAGCACCGCAGTTGCAAGTGGCAACTTCTTTAAGTCCTTTCCCAAGAGCTTTCTGAATTGTTTTTTGTTAAAGAAAACTGCAAATGAAACCCACTTCAGTGCCGTGGGGTCTGATTTCTTTTCTTCTAATTTTTTTTCCTCTTTTCAGCAAACGTGTTTAAGCTGAAGTATTTGCAATAGAAAAAGCTTGCTAGACCCTTCCTAATTCTCACTTTTGAGCTCAAAAAAGGTGCTGCTATGAGTGATGTCAAAACGGCTCTTTTGCTTGCTTGCAAACCCATACAGGCAGTCTTGTTTCTCTTGAAGCACAGACTTATCTGTAGAGATAATCAAAAGCCTGCATCATCCTCAAATAAGGGCTGTTTCTGATGCCCCCCTCCCTGATTCCTGGGATTTTCAGCAAACGGACATCCCCTTTAAACCTGCATTTCTGCCTCCTATCTTTTCTCTTTGAAGCCAGAGGGTTGGCTGGCCTTTGAATAGACAAGGATGAGAACACAGCAGTGGGAGGTCCATGTCTTGCTCATAAACCTTGGCCAGAAAATCGGCTCTGACAAGTGGGGACAGGTAGCAGCATCTTCCCCCTTATCAAATGGCGCAGCAGCGCAGACACATTCCTGCAGCAGCCCGGTGGGGTGGAAGGTGGGGCCTCCTGAGAGCACCTTGTACTCTGCCGTGCTGCTGCACCAACTTGGTGTAGAACTGTGTTGTTTCTGTGCAAAACACGCTGTTCTCTCATTGTCCCTGCCCCTTGGGTGCTGCTTTTGATGTGTTCTTTGGCTTTCTCTTCCTTTAGCAGGGACCAGAGAAAATGTTTATCTGTGGTTCCAGTGCTTGGGGACTTTTGGAGGTGCCATGTCATGTCTTTGCACCTCAGAGTGTTGTTTTGCACGGCTTGGTATGGCCCAGCCTTTTCCTGGGGAAAAACTTTCCCCAGGCCTCCTACTAAAATCTCCCTCCCTCTTGTGTAAAGCAATCATCATTAGCTCTAATTGGGCAGCTTTGGGGTTAAATCTACAAAGATTGCTTGGGTTTGGTAAATCCTCTGCCACTGCAAAGCAGATAATGCTAAACAAAAGATTGCCTTGATTAGATTAAAGTTGGCAAATTCATTGCCCTAATCATCATATTGCCCTTCCCGTGGCTATTCAGGAATACATCACCGTAACTTACTTGAAGTAATTGAATATAATTGTCTTTTTAACTCGTATGTGTAAAACATCCATCTTTGTTAACAGCATGTGTTGCTGTCCTGCTGCCAGCTCACAGTCCTCTTCTGGAGGGGTGGGAACAAGAAGCAGAGCCAGGCTGACGTTTATGAATTGGTAGTTGATTGCCTATAAAACCATTCATTATTTCTGACCAAGCACCTGGAAGAGAATAAAAATGAACAGCACCAGCCACTGGGGCTTGGCTGGTGCTTCCAGGCAGGGAAGCCGAGGGGAAGTCATGAAGGGGAATGTTGCAAAGGGGTGTCAAAAACACCAACCCTTGCCCTTGCCCTTAATGGCAGCAAAGCTCAGGGCACATGGTGGCGTTAGAATTGGGGGTGTGAAACAGATACCAAAGGCAGAGGCATTGCTTAGCTTCCCATGGGCCAAATAGGTTGAAATGCTAAAAACAAACCAAGAGTGCAGCAGGAAGGAGGAAGTTCATGGAAATTTTTCTCCCATTAATAATCAGAGGTGTGGGGAGGGAGAAATTCTCTTCAGATGCCAATTTTATACCAACAGATAGCTAGGAAAGGAGGCCAGGAAGCAAACAGCCCGTGTTTTCTATTTTCCAGCTCTCCTGAGTGACAAGGAGAGACTCTTTTAGCACAGAAATTTCTAGTATTATCTCAGCAATCAATCATGTATAAATGCATAGGTACAAAATAAAACATAGCTGGCCTGGCTTTTAAGATATTCAGTTTGACCTGTTTTTAGTAGTTTTATCATTATTAATAACATAAATTGCCCTAGGGAACAGGCCAAAGGATTAGAGTGACTCCACATCATTCAAACTCAGCTGCGATGGCAAATACAGTTTCAGCCCCGGTCAGCTCTCACTTTCTGCACTCTGGGGAGTTACTCAGCCCCAGACCTGTCCATTAGAGGCAGAGTGACCACCCTATTTTGGGGGGTTGCTAATCCTCACCTATAGGGATGCCACCAACAGCACTTTGGGTTGATCCCAGAATGACAGAAATTTCCTTGCTACTTTTGGTTTATTTGTACAGCATAAATATGGGGTGAGCGCTGCAGAAACCCCAGCCTAGGGGCTCAGGCTGGAAGAGGTGTTTGTGTTGTTTGCCATTGGATGTCTGTGCAGGGACAGTCGACTTTGTGACCATGCTTTGTATATTATGATGTAAGAGCTTGACTCCCTCTGGTCCCCACAGCAGCTGTAGGTTGTGGTGGCAGCTGTGGCCAGGGAACAGCAGTGACCCCAGGGAGGAGGACAGAAGCTGTAGGTGTGTGCCAGCCTAGGTTGGAGTTTGAGCTGAGCATGGTTTGGGGAGACCAGAGGCTTTACTGTGCTGTGTGAGCAGGGGATGGGGCGTGACAGCTAAACTCTGGTGTATTTTTGATCTGGAAAAACACTGTTTGCCTCTTAAAATGAAGACTCCTTAGAAGTGTTCTTACATACCAGATTGTCCCTATCCAGGACAGTTAAAGGGTGAATCTTCCTCCTGCAAAAGCAAATCCTGAAGGATCCAAGTTCGTTCTCTCCCTGAGCCGCTTTTGGGAGAGGAGGAGAGGGGGGCAGAAGCGGGGGAGGTGGTTAACAGTTACTCTACTGTGTCCTGACATTAGGCGAGCTGCAAAAATGCTCTCAGTGTATCAGGTAGTGTGAGGTGCCAGCCCTTTGCTGGAGCACGGAGAGCAAGTCTGCTGCAGAGCCTTAAATACTTTCCACCCCGACTACCTTAGCTTAACGCCTTTCAGCGGAGTTGGCAGGAGGGTTGTTTTTGTGTAGTCTCTCACCTCTCCCAGCAGCCTGGCTGACGCGCCTGTGCCGCGCTGCGCTCAGGGATTGAGCGCTGCGATGGGAGTAGGAGCCACAGATCCTCTTGCTGATATGCCGGGAAAGACGTATATGAGGATTTCACGCAGGCTTTGCGCGACGGACCCGAGCGGAGCGCAGCCCCACCGGACAGAGTCGGCGTAGCTCTGGTGCAGCTGGAGTCGCAGATGCAAAAGGGTGAATTTTCAGTCTTTCGTAGAAAAAGAGTTTGGCATTTCTGAAGTTTGCTGAGCGACAGCGAGAGACTTGGCCCAAGCCTTGACACTTTGGTTTTGGATGGTGCTTCCCCAGTCTCCAGAGAGATGGTACCTGTCACGGAGGCAAGTTACAGTGAAATACCGAGCACAAGCTGGGTTTTGAATTGCTCACTTAGGAAGTTGGGTCTGTTTTATTTTTGGTCTCCAGGTAGACAGAAAGGCCAAGAAGTCAGAGAAAGAATGGTAAAACCTGCAACAATATTAAGTAATCTGTAATGAAGAACTTCTGACTGTTTGTAAAGCTGAGCAAGACCAGCCTTTTATCTTTAAGCTGGTTGCTGCCACAGATGTAGAAAGGGGCATCTTTACAGATGCGCGGAGCCCTGTCGGGGTGATCGTACGGGATCGCTATTGCGGTTGTGCGGTATCGCTATCGAAGCTCTGCTAATTCTATTTCTTTAGCTTCTGTAATTTTAGCAGGAAAGGCCCAGGCGGCCTGGCAGCATTGTTGGGGGTGGTGAGAAGAAATAACCTGATGAATTTTCCATCAGCTCAACTCACTCAAATATTCTTGCCGTTAACTTTTGGGGTCAATAATAAATATTAAAACCTGTAGATTTAATAAGTCAATGTAGGTGTTCACTGCCTTTTGAGACCACTTTATCTTTCCATCAAAGATGAAACAAGCTTCTCAAATGAATAAAAAATAGGGCCTCAAGTGATTACAAGTGAGAGCAATTTGAGCTCCTCTCTCAGAACCTGGCAGTAGGCACTTCTGAGCGTCTTCTGACTGCCTAGACACTCTGCTTTAGCACTGCTCTTGCTGTTATATTTTTAGGTAAATATTTCCAACTTGTGTGTACAGACCTTCAGCAACAGCGTTTGCTGCCACTCCAGGCTTGAGGGACGATGCGGGTCTGGATCCCACCAGGCTCTGTTGAGTCTGATTTGCGTTGCAAGTCTAGTTTTCCTTGGTGCTTGCTATAATCTCCTCAAGTTCAAAGAGCGCTTAGCTGCTTGTCTTTGTCAAAAACCCTGTTGGAGATCTTTTATGTCGAAGATGTAGGATTTTTCCGCATGACTTTGATTATTTATTCATTCCACTTCTCTGGTGTATGATAGCGCTGATATCATGAAGACCCCTTGTCTTGCACTGCTCTTGCTCTGAAATTCATGGAGATTTAGTGCCTTTGAAATTGTTTTAAAAGGGAAGGAAAAGTTTTTGAAGTCCCTTTTTTTTTCTTCTATTCCCCATAACAGTGCCGCAGCACATTTTTCCGGCCTTCCACGCTCCTTTGCCAATTGACATGCGCCACCAGGAAGGACGATACCATTACGAACCTCACTCTATCCATGCTATCCACGGGTAAGTCTTACACCTCCACTCCCGTGCCTTGCTAAAATGTCAGCCACCTGCAATATTCCGAACCCCACTGTTAAAAGTCCCTGGGACTCACTGCCCTTCTGGCAAGCTGGCCCTACTGGCCACCCTCCACCTCATTGTCCCTATCCAGTGACAATACTGACCTGCCTGGCAGGGGGGCTTTACAGCTCTGTTAAGCCAGTAGAAGTGCCCTATAGCAGCAGGATGGGGGTATAGGGCTTCTTTGTCATTATCCAGCTCAGGTCCCGGGTACCAGCTTGACTTGTGTTTTCGCACCCACCATATTTCTCACATCTTGCCTTGCCTGGGTCATTTCTGTCACCATCTTGGCAAAGACCCAGCACTGCTCTCTCTCTTTGGAGACCTTGTGTACCATTCCTCCCTGCCTGCCAGTTGTGGAGATGGTGGCAAAAGGCTGCCAGGAGTGCCGTAATTCAGTTTGATTTCACTGGACAACAGCCCGAATGGGCTGGTAGCATTTTCTAAAAGCAATAATAAATCAGGTACTCATGGGGGTGTCCATGTCCACCCTGGAGGGGTAGGACTCTGGTTTTTGGTGGTGACCTTCTCATGAAAGCCTCTTCTCTCTAAGGCAGCTGATGGGCAGTGAGCACAGAGACTGTTCAGGGGCTACACCCTAAGAGGAGGGCTCGTGGTTAATCTCCTCATCCAGGATATGACAGCTCAGAAATTCTTGATGTCTTGAAGGAGATATTTACAGAGAGATCTGTTTTCACCTCCTGTAAGGTTTGATCAGGGCAAGGAAAATGGAAGCCAGCAGGAATGTGAGTAGAGGTTCTAGTGATGGTGAGGCTGGAAGTGTTTCTTCCAGTCCCTGACATGCACCTTTCCCATGAGAGGTGAGGAGCAGTGCAATGGGGTTGGTGGTCTCACGGCTATCCCAAAATCCTTCAACATGCAGCTGTAGCACAGGGCTCAGACATTAGCTGAGGGACAGGTCCCAGAGCACTCGGTGTAGGGGAACCACTGAGGGCCAGAATCATTTTGCAAGAACAAGGAAAGAGCAGCTAGGGCTTGTCACTTAAAAAGCTCCCATTTGATCCCCTGGAGTCCTGTTGCAGCCTCACTGTCTGGCCAGGGGCTGTGCTCACCCAGATTTGCAGGTGCTGTTTGTGGAGCTGTGCTGCTTCTGGAAAGGTGTAAGCAGGGGAACAGACCCTGGGAAGCAAGTATTGCAGACAGCAACAGCCAGATCTGTGGAGCCCCACAGCTACCACAGCTTTATTCTTCTTCCAAAATACTGCAGAGAAATAAACGATAGGGCATTCCCCTGGATCCTACCAGAAGACAAGTCATTGTCTTTTAGGCTGACAGTCAATTTGACTGGATGTTTAAAGGGGCAGAGCAGCTTCTTCCATGCTGTGTGCAAAGGGGAAATGACAAAGCAGGTTGCTAACGTGGGAACTGGGAGGGGGGGGGGGAAGGGGGGGGCGGTTAGGGAGGCTGCATGAAATAGTTCTGGCCTTTCATACAAAAATTGTAAAAAAAAAGAATAATAACTTGCTGGGAGATTGTTAATAAGCTGGCGCTCTGGTTAATAAAGCACGTAGGGAAGAGGGGGATATTCAAAACAGAGGGAGATATTCTAACAGTGGTTAGAAGAGAGGCTGGAGGATGTTCTGATGTTTGTCACAGGTTATTTGTGTGCCCTGCTTGGTGCTCCCCTTCAATCTTTATGAGGAGGTTTGGGGGCACTGCATATACTGTGGGGCTCCACAGCAGTTTCTGTGGTGGGGTCATGAGGCAAGGTCTTCTACAAAATGCAACTGAGAGCCTGCCACTGATTCATACCTATGAATCATATGCCCAGTAACCCCAGTAGTATTTTTTCATATTGGCATTGTCCAGCTGATCAGCCTTGGCCAAGTGTACAGCTCTGGCAGATCACGCTTCAGTTCATCTGCTCCAATATTAATAATCTACTGTGTTAGCAGTTACATTTGTCTATCAGTGGACCAAGCGTGTCCTGTTTAGTATTTGGGTAGAGTTGTTGGCAAATATCTGTTGCATTTCTTCTTTGGGATTCGTCTCCTTCCCAGCAGCTCCGCTCGCAAAACTAACTTGCGATGTACGGGACAGAAAACTTGGTTGCAGGTCTTAAAGAGAAAACATACTCCTCTTTGAAGCTACCTGGGCACTACACTGAAAAGTGCCTTTGTGGCCAGAGAGGCTCCAAAGCTGAGCAGCCAAGTGCTTCTTGGCTGTGACAATTTTATAGGGTCAAGGGAATGCAACTTGCATTTGGCTGTTTGTCAAGAAGTACCCTGTGCTATGGCACAACCACATTGGGAGAATTCTCTGCAGCTGTGGTCTCAGTAATTTTTCTTCTTCAGATTTTTTCTGCCAACGTCTTAAAATCATGTCTTGCCCTTTACTCTTCTTGTTTTTTATTCTACATTTATTTTGTCTTTCTTCTCTCTCCTCCAGTCTCCGCTCTGGAGGTCACAACGTAGCACTCACCCTCCTCACTGGAGGATGTCCAGGGTGAATTCATCCAGACATGGTGGTAGACCTGGGCTAGAACACACTTGGTGATGGCGTGGCTCTTATCCAATACAGTGAACAATTTATGCCACCAGCCCATTTGGGCTGTTGTCCAGTGAAATCAAACTGAATTACAGCATTCCCGGCAGCCTTGTTCAATACTCTGTGGGCACAGATGAGCTTCTAGAAGTTTGTACTCCGTCCTGGTGGGGCAGAAATCAATCCTTCTTGTTTCAAGAGTAAACAACCTGTAAAAAAACCCCAAGGGCATATGCATATTCTCACTCTAGAAAATTATGGCAAATGTTTGGAAGAAAAATTGCGTCACTGAGTTTTGGCTTTATGATTAATGTGATGGGTGCCTGACATAGAGCCCCCAATTCATCAAGTCTATATTCTACCTGTCTACTGTCTTGACAGTACCAAATTTATCTAATTATGGGAATGTTGCATGGCAAATTAAGTGCAGTCTCATTTGTTGCTAACTATGGGGTCTTATTATCTGCCTGCTGTATTATGTCAAAGGTTTGTTTCCTGATTGTTTGGTGTGACCTGGCAGCGCATTCCCCTTCATCACTGTTTGCATTTGGCCTAATGAGAATGTTCGTTATTTTATCTCAACTGGAGAGAACTCATCTGCAAGGCTCTCTTGAGCAGAACCACCTGTGGGACCCTTTTCTTTGGAACACAGATGGGAATGTGAAGAACCTGAGTTAAAAATGCCCCCCGTGCCAAGATGAGCCTGAAAGACTCGCTGTGTTTCTCCTCGGTGTTGTCATTCCCTGTGTTTCAGTGATTTTCTTGTTAAGCAGCATGACAAATAATTTTCAGGACTTGAGTCTTCTTCTAAACCACTGAGGATTTATTACATATGTCCAGAAGCAGATTATGCTGGGGTTTTCTTGAATTCTACTTTTAGAATGTTTTGGTGTTTCTTCAGTCATTAGGACAACCCACTTTTCTGTACAACCACTGTTGGTTTTACTTATTTGGTGGTGAATTTTTTGGACATCTTTAATATTTGGACTTCTTTTCTTGGCATTAACAACAACTTGACAGAATTTTGGTGCTTGCTTGGCTTGTCTAGAAAAATGAAGTATCTCATTCAGATGATTGTCCTGGATTGCAATGACTGTGTGCCTGTGGTAATATGGAGGATAGAGAGAGAGGCAGGATTGGAGTCCAGTGGACACCATAAAGGATGCAATGCAGAACAGAGTGAAACTGAATATGGGATAAAATCTATTTCAGGAATTAGAACTAGAACAGAATGAATAAAAGAAATAGTATTGGTGCATAAAAATTGTATGAGCCAACATTTCCACAACATAACATTCATTTAACAGTAAGTAATACTACAATACTCAAAGGCTAAGAAAAGACAAAAAAACCCAATTGGCGGTTCTGCATTATTCTGGAGGTATAGGATCAGATTACAGAGCCGTGTACTCTTTTTCCCTGTGATCCTCTCTTCCAGAGCACAGGATGGCCCAGGCTCTGTGGAAGAGCAGTGGTGGGTCTTACATGCATTTTCTGCATGCAGCTTTTATTGATTTCTCAGAATTTCACTCTTTGCTGCTGGTTGTAGGTCAGCACTATTTGAGTGAAAATCATCAGCCAGGTGTGTGCAGGCTCAAAGCTGAACCAGAAAAATTCACTTCCTAAGTCAGTACAGGTCCTTTTCTAACAAAAGGGGTATTTTGTATTTTAGTGAACTTCTTCACAGAAACCTAATCTACTGGGGCCTGGTCTCTGCTTTAAGCTAAGAGGGCAGCATCAGCTATGCAAGACCAAGCCCTTGACTCCAGAGAAAAGTTGCTGGCAGATATGGGAGGTGATTACACGCTTACCTGTTTTTTATTGTTATTTTTTTTTAAATCACAACAAAAATAACTAAAAACTCCTTAGCTCAGCTTAAAAGTTCCTGCCAATGCAAGAGCCTTCAGGGCTAACCCTAGTAAACAGCATGCCTAGGCTTGACCCAGCAAGAAGCTTTTTAACAGTAGCTCCTAAACTGTGGTTAAAACCCATCAGGCATTATGCACTGTAAAAAACAAAAGCAGCCTTGTTTTTCTACCAACATCCTGGTGGTGTTCTAGGATGCAGTTCTGACATTATTTATTAACAAAATATTGTTGTTGCTCTTCTGTCCACACATAAAAATAGTTTAAAAAAAAAACCCAAACCCTGAGCTTATAATCACAAATTCCACAGTTTTCATTAGGACTGCATTGTCCCAAAGACCTAAACATAGACATGACTCCATCTCCATGATAATGTAGAGTTGCCCTTATTTTCCCTCTGGTAGGGATTTTATCTCATTTAATCAAGGATATTCCTCCATTTCCATGAAATCTTAATATATTATTACAGATTTTTCCTGATATCCAGCCTACACTTTTTTTCTTTATCTGATTTTGTTACCCCTCCCTGTTGAAGTTTGTTTCCTTTTTACTGTGTTAAAAATTACAGAATAC